GTAAATTCAAGAGAAGAATGCTTAAATAAATTATTTGACTGACTGACAGCCCGTGCAAGGATCACAAATTGTGTGTCACGTGGGTGCTCTCTGTGGTTGTCGTCATTGCACGAGCCGCTGCAGTCTGAATCAGTTGCGGGTTTACTTATTCATCTCGTCGGAAGACCAGAAGAGCATTACAGTAGGGGGGGGGGTGTGGAGGGGGGGTGTGGAGGGGAGGGAGGAGGTGGAGGGAAGGAGGGGGCGGGGGGTAAGAGATGGAGGGGGTGGAGGGGTTGTAAGGGAGGGGGCCTGGGGGCATTTAAAGGATTTGGGGGAGGGGGAGGCACTCAACTTGGGGGCGGTGACGATGCGCATGCGCGAACTTTCATCTTCTTACGACTCGTTCGCCTGATTATCTCATTTGCATACCCTATTTATGGATAATGACTGCCAATTAAACGGTATCTATTTTGCTAATGGCTTCATGGATCAGTGGATGATGATGAGTCTACAGAATAAACCCCGCCATGGAGGAGGGAGGGGGGGGGCTGGTGATGGGGGTAGTGGTGGTGGTGGATATAGTGATGAAGGTTCCTGGTGATTGGTGAGATCGTTGAGTGTGGTAGTTGTGGTGGAGGTGGTGGAAGACATCGAGCAGTTGTTGGAGTTGTTATTGTGGTAGTGGTGGTGGTGATGATTGAGGCGCACGAGGGAGTGGTGATGGTGGTGGTGGATGGGGGTAGTGATGATGATGATGGTGGTGTTGGTGGTGCTAGTCGTTGATGGTGAGTGCAGAGGGTCGAGGAGGGAGGGAGTCGAGGGAGGATGTAATTCTCTCATTACGAGTGCGTGATTTCGTAATTAAATCCCCTGAGTTCATTAATTACCCCTTTAGTCTCCAGGCTCGTGGAGACCGCTTGGCGATCGTCCACAAACCCCTAAACCTTGACCACTTATACAACTATCCACTACCCCTCCCCCACCCCAATTACCCCGACCCCCCTCCCCCCAATCTCCCCCCACCCAGGGTCATTCTCCCGGCAACCTCGTTCGCTTGTTCGCTTTCAGTGTCGGTGTTCACAGCGATATTGTTATTGATTGCGTGCTCGTGGAGCTGTCCTCCCCCCCCCCCCACTAACACCGCCCGACCACCGTTAGCAGACACGAGATGTGCGCGTGGGTTGTTGTGGGGAGGTATGGTCGGAGCGATCCATCACAGCTTCGACCGCGCGTCGCGCTCATCACGGGACGCGCGGAGCCATTCATCACTCACGGCTTGGGGCTGAGCCACAGAGCGAGCCCCCCCCCACTCGGAGCTGAGTCTCACAGCGAGCCGAGCCCCCCCCCCCCCCACTCGGAGCTGAGCCACACAGCGAACCGAGCCCCCCCCCCCCCCCCCCCCCCCACTCGGAGCTGAGCCACAGAGCGAACGAAGCGGTGACACCGAATAGAATGACGGAGTTGCCAGGGGAAGTTGCTACAAGGGTTGCGGAATGAGTGGCACTGATCGAGGAGTACTTCGGGATCACAAGAGGGTCGGGGAGGGACCGGAATGAGTGGAGGGGCGAGGGGAGGGAAGAGGAAGAGAATAGGGAACGGCGAAGAGGCGGGGCTTCGAGAGAGGAACGGAAGGAGGTTAAGGAATGGGACTGCTTCATGTACAGGGGCAGCGTTGAGTCTAAGGGCAGTGTTGAGTCTACGAGCAGTGTTGAGTCTATGGTGCAGTGTTGAGTCTCTATGGGCAACGTTGAGTCTATGGTGCAGTGTTGTTGAGTCTATGGGCAGCGTTAAGTCTATGGTGCAGTGTTGTTGAGTCTATGGGCAGCGTTGAGTCTATGGGCAGTGTTGAATCTATGGGACAGTGTTGAATCTATGGTGCAGTGTTGTTGAGTCTATGGGCAGTGTTGAGTCTATGGGCAGCGTTGAGTCGATGGTGCAGTGTTGAGTCTATGGTGCAGTGTTGAGTCTATGGGCAGCGTTAAATCTATGGGCAGTGTTGAATCTATGGGACAGTGTTGAATCTATGGTGCAGTGTTGTTGAGTCTATGGGCAGTGTTGAGTCTATGGGCAGCGTTGAGTCGATGGTGCATTGTTGAGTCTATGGTGCAGTGTTGAGTCTATGGGCAGCGTTGAGTCGATGGTGTAGTGTTGAGTCTATGGTGCAGTGTTGAGTCTATGGGCAGTGCTGAGTCTATGGTGCAGTGCTGAGTCTATGGTGTAGTGTTGAGTCTATGGTGCAGTGTTGAGTCTATGGGCAGCGTTGAATCTATGGTGCAGTGTTGAGTCTATGGTGCAGTGTTGAGTCTATGGTGCAGTGTTGAATCTATGGTGCAGTGTTGAGTCTATGGGGAGTGTTGAGTCTATGGTGCAGTGTTGAGTCTATGGGCAGCGTTGAATCTATTAGCAATGTTGAGTCTATGGGCAGTGCTGAGTCTATGGTGCAGTGCTGAGTCTCTGGTGCAGTGCTGAGTCTATGATGCAGTGTTGAGTCTATGGGCAGTGCTGAGTCTATGGGGCAGTATTGAGTCTACGGGCAGTGCTGCTTAACGTATAGGGGGAAGTTAATTCCTGTGGAGGAGTTGCAAGGAGGGAGATCGAGCGGCGAACCGCCACTGCCGTTGGGACCAATATTGAACGAAAGAGAAATCTTTAAAAATGAAACCCTTCCACGAGCAGACGATGGCAGGCACCGGGATGCCGAGTGTAAATGTCACGTGGGCCGACGAGGGAGAGAGAAATCTGCACTAAAGTCTCAGACGAGAGAAAGATCGCGTGGAAGCGTAAGAGGAGGAAATCCACCGGTAATACGCGGGTATGAATGCGGCGGTCCGTACGGACTGCCCAGGCTTGCGGGGGGGGGTCACTATTGGGGGAGTGGGTTGGAGGGAGGGAAAGTGGGGGGGTGGGGGGGGTAGAGGGGAAGTGGGAGTGGGTTGGAGGGAGGGAAAGTGGGGGGGGTGGGGGGGGTAGAGGGGAAGTGGGAGTGGGTTGGAGGGAGGGAAAGTGGGGGGGTGGGGGGGGGGTAGAGGGGAAGTGGGAGTGGGTTGGAGGGAGGGAAAGTGGGGGGGGGGTGGGGGGGGTAGAGGGGAAGTGGGAGTGGGTTGGAGGGAGGGAAAGTGGGGGGGTGGGGGGGGGTAGAGGGGAAGTGGGAGTTGGTTGGAGGGAGGGAAAGTGGGGGGGTGGGTAGAGGGGAAGTGGGAGTGGGTTGGAGGGAGGGCTCGATGGAGGAGTAGGGGTGGGGGAAGGATTGAAGTGTAGGATGGGAGCGATGGGAGGAGTTTGAGGTTGGGATGACTGCGTTTAAGGGTGGAAGGAGGGAGGGGATGGAGGGGGTGACGATTTGGGGAAGGGGATGAGGTGGCGGTGAAGATGCGGAGAGGTGTAGGTGATGGCGAGGGAGAGACCACGAGTATGACGAAGCTGTGCGGGGGCAGTGAGAGGATCCGGCGAGTTCACGATCCCAGTCTGCTTGGTGTAGCCGGGTGTGAGCTCCAGCGAGCTTGGGATCGAGTCACAACTGCGAGAGGGGTCTGGGGCGGGCGTGTGTCAGTAGGGGGGCGATGATTGCCACGGCGTATCATCACAACGGAGTCATTTGCCCTGTAATTTTCTCATTTGGAGTAGATGATGAGTGGGTGGTAGTGGTGGTGAGTGAATGTGTTAGGGTGCTTGGTCGACTTAGCCTTGTGGTGCTGGCCACCCACCCCCTCGTGTGCCGTGCCGGCCTCCATCGGCGCTGCTCGCGAACAGCACTTGCCCCAACCGTCTGTTATGTCTACACGGGGGATCTTTGTATTTTATTTTATATCAAGTGAATGTAATAATGTCGATCGCTCCACATCTGATGATGATGATGATGACGATGATGGTGGTGACACGGGGCACTGATACGGCCCAGTGGTGACGCGTTCGTCGCTTGTTGCAGTGGTTCGCGGTTCGACCCGGGCGCCCCCCCTGGTAAATACCGCGGGTGTATTTAACCAGAAGAAATTGGCCGAATGTGCGCCGTCCGCTTCACAGTGGACGTTTAAGGTCCCATGACGTCGTTCGAAACAAGAAGTTGGCCATTGTGTGCCCGCGTCAGGGTCCAAATTTTGCCAGATTCGGAAAAAAAACATGAAAAGAAATTTCCGCAAAATTACTTAATTTGGATCACATACAGAGCAGAAATCCTACTTCACCTTCCGATTGTTATTTTACCAGGTGAAGCCCACTGAGCTAGACAGCTCTTTTTCAGACGCGACCGAGCCATCACAAACTATAGGTCAACGAAATAGTGGCGCATCGTGTGGGAATGCAGAGCAGCCAAACACTCTAAACGCGTGATGTTGATTTTAAATGTGGACGGGAAAACAATCGTCCCCCCCCCTCCTCCTCCTGGCGGGTTAATACCTCCATACAGGCTGGTGTCGAGTCAGAGAGAGAAAGAGGACGACTCAGAGAGAGAGAGGGGACGACTCAGAGAGAGAGAGAGGGAGAGGACGACTCAGAGAGAGAGGGCGACTCGCGAGAGAAAGGGGACGACTCGAGAGAGAGAGGGGACGACGCAGAGAGAGAGGGGGCGACTTAGAGATAGAGGGGCGACTCGGAGAGAGAGGGGAGTGACTCAGAGAGAGGGAGAGGGCCGACTCAGAGAGAGGGAGAGAGGGGACGACTCAGAGAGAGAGAAGGGACGACTCAGATGCACCAGGAGGAGAAACCACAGAGCAGCAGAAAGGCAGCAGTAGCCGCACGTTGAGGAGCCAAGGTAATCGATGATTGCCTAGGCTCTGCAGTCCTCTATACATCAAGGTGTTTTCAGCCAACGAATTTACTTATTTGGACACGTGGGAGGAAACTGGAGCATATTTTGAAATGTACCTATTTTCCAGAACATTCCAGATAGATTCAGTGCTGAGTCAACTTGGAGTAACTTCTAGAACATTCTATAACTTTCCAGTCATATAAATAGTATAAATACCTTAAGCCGACGAGTTCAGGTTAGTTCCAGCTGCCTAAGTGTATACATATCTGCATTTTTCTGAGATGGCATCAAAAGGCTGCAAGCATCCGGCAGACGCATTTTGCTATGTCTACAGGAGCGAAAAAGTACTCTGTGGAAGCATCTGCTAAGATGTGTGAGGCCTCCAAGGCATATTTCGCCATGCCTGTCGGGGATCAAGACAAACCCTGGGCACCTCATTTCACCTGCGAGCAATGCAAAAAAACTCTGGAAGGTAAGATGGACAATTCTTGCTCGGAATCTTAAGTTATGAAATTTGTCGAAAAAATATGTAATTGTAAAAGTTTTTATTTTATTTTAAATGTTTTACAATTTTCAATGTTATTAAAAAAATATATCATGTATGAAAAATGTTGCGAGAATCTCTTACACATTAGTCATGGGTGAAATAAATGTATTTTTGTAGGATGATACGAAGGGGAAAAGAGAGCCATGAAGTTCGCTATCCCAAGAATTTGGCGGGAACTCACTGACCACTCAAGCAACTGCTACTTCTGCATGGTGGACCCTTCCAAACGTCGGACTGGCAAGAATGCACCTGCTATCACGTGTCCGGACCTTCCTTCATCCATCGCCCCGGTGCCACTACTGCCATGAGCTCCCCGTACCCACTCCTCCGGAGAGAGAGCAGCCGTCTTTAGAAGAGAGCAGCAAGTCAGAGAGCGAGGAAGACGTTGTAGATCCAGATGGCAATTTCAGAGGTGGAGCTGAGGAGAGACACCCATACTACTCCAACCAAAAAAAACCTCAACGACTTGATCAGAGATCTTGGTCTCACCAAGTCCAATGCCGAGCTTTTGACGTCTAGCCTCAAGCAGTGGAACTTGTTGGATGAAAGTGTGCAAGTCGCAGATCCGAGGAAGCGTCACCAACCTTTTTGCAGCTTCTTTACCCGTCAAGATGGGCTCTTCGTCTGCCACAATGTGACCAGTCTGTTCGAGGCAATCGGAATCGCCTGTAACCAGAATGAGTGGCGCCTCTTCACTGACAGCTCATCCAGGAGCCTCAAAGCCGTGCTGCTCCATAATGGTAACAAGTACCCGTCTCTTCTCCTGGCTCCCTCGGTGCACCTCAAAGAGAATTACAACAGCATCAATATCTTGCTGGACGCCTTGAGGTATGATGAGTATGGCTGGGAGGTCATCGGAGACTTAAAAATTGTGGCATTCCCGATGGGTTTCCAAGGCGGTTTAACCAAGTGTCCCTGCTATCTTTGCCTTTGGGACAGCAGGGACACCAAGCCGCACTACCACAGGCAGTACTGGCCACAGCGGACCGAGTTCTCAGTGGGGAGGAACAACGTCAAGTGGGAGCCACTGGTGGACCCCCGGAAGGTGCTGATGCCACCACTGCACATCAAATTGGGCCTTCTGAAACAATTTGTCAGATCTGTAGATAAGGAGTCGGCAGCCTTCAAGTACCTTCACGACTTCTTCCCTAAGCTGTCCGAGGCAAAGGTCAAAGCCGGTGTCTTCGTCGGACCACATATAAAGAAGATCTTGGAGTGCAATGAATTCCCCAATAAGCTCATTAGTAAGGTGAAAGCGGCTTGGGACAGCTTTGTCGCAGTGGTTCGTGGCTTCCTGGGCAATCACAAGATAGTTAAACTACGTGGAGCTGGTTGAGACTCTGGTGAAGAACTACGGCAAATGGGCTGTAGGATGTCCCTCAAAGTCCATATCCTTGATGCTCATCTTGATAAATTCAAGGAGAACATGGGAGCGTACTTGGAGGAGCAAGTCGAGCGCTTCCACCAGGATATACTGGACTTTGAACGCCGCTACTAAGGACAATAAAACGAGAACATGATGGGAGACTACATTTGGGGGCTGATTCGTGAAAGTGATTTACAGTATAATCGTAAATCTCGAAAAACTACTCACTTGTAAATCTTTTGTCTTAATTTTTTTTATTATTTTAGCATACATACATGTTAATTTTGATGCTTATGTTTTTTTCTTCTGACTTTACGTGAAGGAAAAGACACAAATTCGACCGTTTTCTCATTGAAAATAGGTAAATGTCAAACTATCACTGTCCTGGTCACAAAATCAAAGTTTGTGGGGAACAATAGCCATGTTTTTTACTTTTTAGGCCTCAGCAAATAACGAAATAACACTTACTACCCAGGAACGAAAATTGTGTGAGAAAGTGAATTATTGCAACGGCTCCTGATGCTGCTGCTGTTGCCGATGATGCCCCTGCTTACGACCAGGGGTCGGAGACCAGCGGTTCCTGAGCCGCGTGCGGCTCTTTAAGGACCGCCGCTTCGTGTCCTCATTCATTAAGAACCACGACACCGTCTCGTGTTGACCACAGTGCATTGCGGCTCTCAAAATATTGAGTCTTTTTTTACCTAATTCAACAAAAAATGTCTCTTCTTGTTATTGTGGTTGCCGATCCCTGCTCATGATGATGACTCATGCTGATGATGATCAAACTGATGATGACTCATGCTGATGATGATCAAACTGATGATGACTCAAGCTGATGGTGATCAAACTGATGATGAATGCTGCTGCTCCTGCTACGACTGCTGCTGCTGGTTATGATGGTGATGATGGGGATGATGGTGGTGATGATTGTAATGAAGGAGGGGGGTGGGTTAACTGTTAGTGCTCCGTGTATGAGGAGGTGAGAGAGGCCGAACGCCGGTTCGCCACGCGTCACAGTTCCGAACCCGTGACGAACCGATCCTGGCACGCGGCACGTAGGGGATGACGGGGGGAGAGGGGGCAGTGTAAGTGGAGGGGAGTATCAGTGATCGTCTTCACGATATGCAACACGTGGTCACGTGCACAGCTACAGCCCCTCCCCCTATCGGTGATGGATGTGTGAGCCGGTCGACTCAGCCTCAAATGAGGACAGTACCTCGTGGCGATGTGCGATGTGTAAACATCGCCACTAGGGAGACAAAGGCGGCCAGGCGTGTTGCTGGCCACCCACCCCCTCGTGTGCTGTACCGGCCTTCATAGGTGCTACTCGCTAACAGCACTTGCCCCAAAAGTTTGTTCAGGCTATACGGGAGATCTTTGTATTTCTAGCTGTATATTTACGTGTGTGTCTCTGCCTGCTACTTTGTGTGTCTTTGAGTCTCTGTCTCTCTCAGTGCATTGAAGTATCTCTCCCCATCTGGCTCTCACTCTCTTTGTATTGCCGTGTTTGTATTTTTCTGTCTCTCGGCCGTCTCCCTCTCTATCCGTGTACGTGTTTGTATCTCTCCCCCCTCTCCCCTCTCCCCTCTCTCTCCGCGTCTTCATCTCTCTTTGTTCATTCTCTGCGTCTTTCCATCATCTCCCTCTCACGGGGGCCCTGTCGCCCCGCCCCCCTCTCTCCCTCCATTGACACAGGCCGCCACTTAGCGGAGATGTGCGGGGTGGTGGATGGGGAAGGTGGGGGGGTGGGGGTTGGTGGTGGGGGGGGGGGTGAGCGGGTAGGGGGGGTTAGTGAGTGGTTGGGGGGGGGGTGAGTTGGGGCGAATGAGCCCCCCCCCCCCACGATAAACACAACTACACTCTGGGACGAGTGAGCCGTTCCCCGCGGCAATCAAGAACGCGAGACGGGGGGGGGGCGGTGATCGCAGCGAGACGCGACGAGGGGGCCGCGCGATGTGATTTGGTGGGGGGCCGCGGCGTGGGAGGTTGGGGGTCCTGGTGGGGGGGGGCGGTACAGGGTGGGGGTGCGTAGAGAGAAAGGTGGAGCAGGGAAGGAAGCTTGAAGGAGATGGGGGGGGGCAGGGGGGGGCATGGATGTGAGGGAAGGTGGGAAAAGTAGGGGGCAAGAGGGAGGGGTAAAAGCGGAAAGAGGGGGGGGGGGCGTTGAGTCACGTGTGGAATGTGGGCACATCGTGGGGGTACAGAGGGAGGGGATTGTAGGGGGGGGGGGTGGATCCGGTCTGTGTTCGCCCATCGGCGCGCGTCGTGAGCGTGATAATCGATAGTTGATCACCGAGATCGATGACTCGTTACGCGCTTAGCTCACTCGTCAGGCGCGGGACTGCAGCCCGTGCGTGGGTCACGGGGTCGCGCCCCCCCTCCTCCTCCATGCGGGGGCGACACGGGACGACGATCCGGACTCGGAGGCGAATCGAGGGGAACGGCGGCTGCTCGCTCCCCTCTCCTCTCCCCACTCCTTGCCCCCCCCCCCACCTTCTTCTGAACCCCCACCGTGCCCCCCTTTTCTTCTCCCCCACACCCCCCTCCATGCCTGTGTCGCCACCGCCGCCCCCCACTCCTCTTGTTCGTCGACCTCAGAGTCCAACCCCCCCCCCCCCCACGTCTATCGCCCCCCCCCCACTCCCCTCACCATCATCCCATATTCCTCCCTCGCACCCCTCTCCTCCTCACCCCTCCTCCCTCACCCCTCCTCACCCCTCCTCACCCTCCTCACTCACCCCTCCTCACCCCTCCTCACCCTCCGCTTCCCTTTAGCTCTCTCAGCCCCCCCACTGATCCGCCCAACCCCCCCACCCCCCGCCCCCTCCCAGCGCGCGCGCTCGGAAGCCGCATGAATTATTCACGCTCCCTGTGCAGAGAGAGGGAGTGGGAGGTTTTCTTCCTGCTATGTTCACATTTATTTATCCTTCCGTCACCAAAACCACCTCGCCCCCACCCCCTCCACCCCTCCCTCCCGCTCCCTCCCTCCACTCCTTGCCCCCCCCCCACTCTCCCCTACTTCCCCCGCCCCCCACTCTCCTCCGCCCCCCACTCTCCCCTACTTCCCCCGCCCCCCACTCTCCCCCAACGTTGCGCTTGTTTAACTCCGCACTCTCTCGAGTCTTCTCCCACCGCGATGTGTGTGTGTGTGGTGGGGGGGGGTCTGTGTGGTGGGGGGGGGGGGGTCTGTGTGGGGGCGGGGTGGGGGGTGGTGGGGTCTAGTTAATGGGAGGGTGTAGGGGGGGTTAATGGGAGGGAGTAGGGGGTGTGAGTCTGGGCGTTTGGGGGGTTGCCTTCGCCAGTGCGCGTGGTTTGTGTGGAGCGGGCGGCGCTGAGAACCCGGCCACCCGAGATCGATTCCCGCTCACGACCAAGAACGAGCGGCGAATGTTTGAACCGGTCCTGGGCCTCCCCTAGGTCGCAACAGCCTCTATGGGTGCCTGGTGCGATGTGTAAAACATCGCCGCTAGGGAGACAAAGGCGGTCGGGCGTGGTGCTGTCCACCCAACCCCTCGTGTGCCGTGCCGGCCTTCATAAGAACTCGATAACAACATTTGAGCCAACAATCTGTTCAGGCTATACGGGGGGAGTTGTGTTTTGTGTGTAGCTGTGTGTGTATCTGTTTCTCTGTGTGTGGCTGTGTGTTTGTAGCTGTGTGTGTGTGCATCTGTTTCTTTGCGTGTAGCTGTGTGTGTTTGCGTGTACCTGTCTCTATGTGTCTGTATGTACCTGTGTGTGTGCATCTGTGTGTGGCTGTGTGTATGTATCTGTGTATGTAGCGGTGTGTGTAGCTGTGTGTGTGTAGCTGTGTGTGTAGCTGTGTGTCGCTGTGTGTATGTGGCTGTGTGTATGTAGCTATGTATATAGCTGTGTATGTAAGCTGTACGTGTCGCTGTGTGTGTAGCTGTGTGTGTAGCTGTGTGTAGCTGTGTGTGTGTAGCTGTGTGTAGCTGTGTGTGTAGCTGTGTGTGTGTAGCTGTGTGTGTAGCTGTGTGTGTAGCTGTGTGTGTGTAGCTGTGTTTGGCTGTGTGTGTAGCTGTGTGTGTGTAGCTGTGTGTAGCTGTGTGTGTGTAGCTGTGTGTGTAGCTGTGTGTAGCTGTGTGTAGCTGTGTGTGTGTAGCTGTGTGTAGCTGTTTGTGTGTAGCTGTGTGTGTGTAGCTGTGTGTGTAGCTGTGTGTAGCTGTGTGCGTGTAGCTTTGTGCGGGGAGCGGTGGTGTATGTAGCTGTGTGTAGCTGTGTGTGTGTAGCTGTGTGTAGCTGTGTGTAGCTGTGTGTGTAGTTGTGTGTGTGTGTAGCTGTGTGCGGGGAGCGGTGGTGTAGCGGTTAGCGCGCTGCGCTATGAACCTGGCGACCCGGGTTCGATCCCCGCTCACAGCCAACACCAGTGACGATTGTTGTATATGTTGGTTATCAAAATTTGTTATGTTGTATGCGTGCGTGGGTGAAATTATTATGTTGTATATTTGGGTTATGAATATTCAGTGAAAATAATAATAATTAAATGAAATTTGGCCAAATGTGTAATTATCCGGAAATATGTTAATTTATGTAATTATGCACATTTGAATTATGCCAATTCGAGAGGTAATCGTATTAATTATGCGAGTGGGTGTAATTATGATAATGCAAGTCGTTATGATAACCAGACCCCGCCTCGGTGATGAGGGTGGGTTATCGATCGGAATAAGGCAATTAATCGTATGCAGTTATGCAGGTGTGGTGTAAGTATGCAAGATTGACTTAGATTAACTCGGCATCGTTGTCTAGGTTCGTCTCATTCTCGCTTTAACATTCCCAGAGTGTGTATTCGTGGTTATATTTTAGGTCCCCGGTTCACCCCGTTATCGCTTTAACATTTACTGAGTATGTATTAGTGTGTTTATTAAGGTCACCAAGTTCAGATCTCAACGCAGAAGCAGATCTTATGCATAGATTTCAGGAAAGAATCACACAACCACTTCTGTATTGATCAATTTATTACTAATTCAACCTTAACTATGATATAGTATGCGAACTCTCAATCCCGGAACGTCAACACGGCATCAATACAGTATCATCAACGATTGTCTGATTTCACTTTGACAACGGCACATGGATCCCGCATAACGCGATGGTTGTTAGTGAGAGAGAGAGTCGTTAAAATATGCAAATACTATGCTAAGAAAACCTTAACGTTAATGAATGATTATACTCAATATTGTTCACGCAGTACCGCACTCCTTATTGATCATACGCAACCCTTATCACGTTGTTAGCACCTTGGGTCACGGGACAGTTGAATATTCTGTAGAGGATGCGAGTACGTGCGGCGATTATGACTGAAAGATACTTGAAAGATTATACGGCGATAAAAAAACACAATCAAAAACAGTTATTATTCTTAAAGGCACCAATCTCAACAGATACATCGGCAGGTTATCTGACAACAGAACGGCTCGGAGTAAGGGCCTGCGACGGTGCTCCTTTTCCGAAGATCGTTATCTTATACCAAGTTTACTAATTGGGGACCAGATCACCTGATAAGGATCCGGTGGGCCACCACTCCCCACGTGAGCGTGGCTCGGCGGAAGGAGGTGCCAAGAATCAGTTCGTATTGATGGATCTGTTGGGAATTTATGCGATTAAGAGTACAGCCCACTAAATATTAAAGATAAAAATTACGAATACTCTTATAAACGACGGATGGCCATCACTCGGTCTCGTTGTGATGCCTTCCCAGCCACGGATGGCTTATGGGTTCGAGTGTGTTTGAGTGGTAAGAGT